AACGCTTTATTAATGTCAGAATGCAAGGAGCAAACATTTAACACACTTGGCACAGTGCATCACTATTTTTCCTTTGGTCTACGGACTCTGCTCTTCTCCTACTCCCACATTCATGCCTACGCAGAACTGTACTAGTAATTCACATCATATTCCAGGGAACAAGGAAAACAAGACCCTAACTTATAAGGTCATAAAATATGGCCCTAATTTTCCCCCCAAATTGATTTAAATGCTTGGTTTTAACCTATAAAGGCCCATCTGAGAAGACAGTTGGCAATCCCTTTCTGTGTAAATCCAGGTCAGCCTCAACATACAATTGTTCTATTAGGCCAAGTCAATTTTTAGAGGGAGGCCTGTTAAGTTAATTTAAAATGGAGATGAAAAGCAAGTGTATGATCAAATGCTAAACTCCAAAAAAACACTGACAGGGAAACAAGCAAGGAAATTAAGTTTCCTTAAAATTATTCTCTGTGATACCTTTAGTTAACAAAGGACATATAAAGACCTCAATCAGCCTTTCTAATCCATACCCAGCTCTCCTACCTTTAACAGGTAAAAAAATTGATTTAGTTCTCAATGTTCTCAGCTTCAAGTCCATTCAACCCTTAACTTAGGATCCAGAAAGGTTGATATTAAAAGTTACACAGGAGGCCAGGGATTTAGCTCAGTGATGCCAGCACCTGCCTCAAAAGCACAAGGTCCCAAGTTCGAGCCCAGGTACCGCCCCCCAAAAAAGTTACACAGGACCTATCATTCCAATTCCTTTAACAAATGTACTTCTCAAGCATTTCTAAATATTTGACTTCAAGAGAAAAAAATGCATTTCTACTTTAAAACAATCTTTCATCTCTAGCAATGCAAATTTTCTTTGTTTGTTTAACCAATCCACATACCACTAGCCAATGTTTAATCGGGCCTTTATTTAATATCGCCAACCATGTGGGCTACACAACCAAGACTAAAAGCTTCAGATAATGATCTCATTAACAGCAACAAATTGGTTCAAAGATGAAATATTATCAATATATCTGAGAACCCTTTACAGTTCCACACTTCAGAACTACAGGAAAAGTGTAATTAATTCCCTCAGCACTCAAACTGCATGCCTGGCACTCTTACACGCAAATGAACTGTAATCCTGAATGAATAAAATAAAGGTAATTAATGAAATTTCATACCTCCATAATCTATTCATCACAACTTTCACAAATGGAGACATTTTAAAAAATTTTTTAAATCTTCTTACAGATACTAGTGACCTCAGGATAGTTACATAAGCCTCAAACGCAAAAGTGAACCACCAAGGTTCCTGGTATCTAATTCCTGCCCCTACCCCCCCAACACACACACACACACACACACACACACACACACACACACACACAGGCTTTCCTCTACTTTAACCCATGCAAATGACTGAACACTTCTAATTAGAAGTAGCTGGGCAAACCAGACTCTGATAAGGTATCTACTGTATAAACAGATATATACACACACATACTTTCATTGGCATATAACAGCAAAGAAAAAAAACAGTAATACAAACCAAGTTCTTATCTTAGAATCTCAGAATTCTTAAAGGAGAGCTTTTTTTTTTTTTGAAACACGGTCTCACTATGTAGTTCAGGCTGGCCTTGAAGGAACAAGGGTCCTCCTGCCTCAACCTCTAGTGCTGGGATCACAGGCTTGACCCACCATGTCCAGCTCAGGAGAGCATCTTTCAAACAAATTTTTCTCTTCAATCAAAAACAATAAAGCTGCAGAACCCAAATAACAAAAGCAATGCTACAGTGCTACTATTTAGCTTTAATTATGAGAAAATAAACTGAAGACCATAAAACATTAAATGGAAAATCATACAGAATGCTTTAAATAAAAGATGGTTTTGAAAAGTACTTAGAAAACATGATTAATCTGAAGCTGAATGCCAATTTTCTATTTCTCATTTCTCACACACACAAAAAAGTTATATTCCCATCAGCAGTCCTAAACATCAGCTTTCCTTACCAAAATAAAATAAACACTTTTTCAGGGGCAGTATTTGAAGAACTAATAAAAACATGCCTGGGCTGAGGATTTAGCTCAGTGGTTCTGGCACCTGCCTCGCAAGCGCAAGGTACCGAGTTCGATCCCCAGTACAAAAAAAAAAGCAAAAATATGTGCCAACCTTTGTACATACACAGTCCTGAGAGCCACACTGTGCTCCATTTGTGGACACAGAGTTCAATGAGCTGGACACCACAATAAAGTTATTAAAGATAGAGTGTAGAAAGAATGACTATTTGGACAGCTCAGATAAACATACCAATAGTACTGCAGTTATAAGGAAATTAAGGACACCTATTAGTGACTGCTTAACAGGTAAACTTATTAAATACCATTTAAGTCATTTTTCTTTCCTTAGCAATTGTGGACTTTGGGGGGAAGGGGCCTAAGCTAATGGACTACAAAAGATTTAGATAAGCACTTCAAAAAGATTCAAAAGAGAATAGATTCCTTCAGCCAAATTCACACAGTATCTCTCTACTTACAAGGATAAAATAGTTAAAAATGGTGTGTTTAAACTGCTAATTTTGTATTAAATGGTGAAGTCAAGATTATCTCCAAAGCATAGCACTAGTCATAATGGATAGCTCTCCAGACAAACTACCATGCAGAAAGAGTACAAGTTAAAACACTGCATGGGGGCCGGGGATTTAGCTCAGTGGTTCCGGCGCCTGCCTCGCAAGAGCAAGGACCTAAGTTCGATCCCCGGTAGGAAAAAAAAAAAAAAAATCTAAAACACTGCAGATAAAAATCATAAACTTCAAAAGTCTCCTCCAAAAAGTGAAATGCCACATTAAGACATCTTTTCACCCTTTAGAAGGCTGTTAAACATTTCTAAACCTATAAGGATTCGCACACCTGTAGTCCCAGCACTAGGGAGGCTGAGGTAGAAGAATCTCGCAAGTTTGAGGCCAGCCTGGGGTACACAGTGAGTTCAAGGCCAGCCTGAACTACAAATAGAGACCTTGTCTCAAAAAAAAAAAAAAAAAAGCCACAAGGGCAGAGTATCTCAAGGAGTCACAAGAAGCAAGATTAAGATTCAAACTATTGGGCAGGGGATTTAGCTCACTGGTTTTGCTGCCTGCTGCGCAAGGGTAAGGACTCGAGTTCGAACCCGGGTACCAAAAAAAAAAAAAGGGTTTCAACTTTTTTTTTTTTTGGTGCCGGGGATCGAACTCGGGACCGTGCGCTTTCGCGGCAGGTGGAAGAACCACTGAGCTAAACCCCCGGCCCCAAATTCAAACTATTCTTGAAGGCTGCAATGAAAATTCTTAGGAATCTTCAGCATAGCATCCTTTCTAAAGCCTAAAAGTTAAAGGCAATAATACCATTAAGGTAAAAAAGCCCAAAAATCCTTTAACAACATTTTCAGTCACAGAACTCAGTGTGCTTGCCCTTCTGTTTAACAGGCAGAAGTTTAAGATGGGGGAAAGGCCCCGTAAAGCTGATTAATCGGGCACGGGTACCTCCCCCAGCTTTGTAAGGACACACCTCCAAGGATCCACGCTGCACAGCTCCGTCTTACCCAAGCAGAGCGCTGTCTATACTACAGGGGAAGGGCCGGAGATTTAGCTCAGTGCCACCTGAGCCTGCCTCACCTCCTTCTTTCCACCGCCTGCCCCGCAAGCGCAAGGATCCGAGTTTGACCCCCGGTACCAAAAAAAAACTAAATAAATAAATAAATAACTAAATGGTGTACTAATTAAAAAATATAACAACAGAAATAATCTCTCACTCTTTATTCTTCTATTTATTTTGTTTA